ATTCTTCCCTTTACTGGGAAGCTGGGGCACTTCCAAGAGCCATGTAACTATCTCCATTCCTTCCAACCCCTAGCAGACTATGGATCTCAGTGTTATCTTACAGCAGTGGCCCTCACAGGCTGTGTGCTGAGGAACTGAAAAAGTCAATTGAAAATGCATTTATTGCCAACAAGGGAAGTGAGTGTGGGGAGGTATAGAAGAGTATTCTGAAGCTGCATGCCCTGCCACAGCACTTCCAGCTTTCAGGTGAGGCAGTGCTCACCTGGGGCTGGTGCACTGTACCTTGCAAGGCAGGCACTAGAGCTTCAGCAGCCTAACAGATGCGTTTCTTATTCTGAAGATACACATGAATACAGATACAGTTTCGCTTTTGCAATAGAAAGGAAGTTATACTTGATCCATACCAACTCTTTTTCAGGTAATTGAACTTCAAAACTTAAGCAGAAAAGCTGCCAGCAAAACTTGTGCCTCTTTGTGCTACAGTTAGTCGCTAACAACTATTCTGAATGTGTTATCTCTAGTTTTTATTAGCTCATATTTACTTTGGCTGCACATCCAAGCAGTCATTTAAACAGGGTGAGAGAGGAAAATCTTGGACTTGCAACAATGGCCAAGCAGTTTAATCTACCACTGGGGACAAAGACTTGACTCCTATTGGCGTGGAGCGCTGGCAGGGTCAAGTGTAACATGTGCTGGAGGAAGCACTAGGGAAGCAGATCTCTGACTGTTCAAACAACACCAAGCATTTCCTTGAGCTATTCAGAGTTCTCTTTGCCCCTCCTGTGTAGAGAAAACAGCTCCAGCTGTCCAGTCACCTGCGCTGGCTTCTCCACTCACCGGATTCATGACATTGGTGGCCGCCAACAGCTCCAGGTTAGATGCAGCACATTCCTCATTCCTCACAGCTCAGATGTTCAAAGCTAAGTTAGGAAGCAGTCAAGATCATGTCCTTGGCATCAGCACCAAGTTGGTGCTGGAAGATAATTTATATTCCTGAGCAGAGCTGGCACTGGGCAGATTGGCCATAAACATCAACAAACTGCTGTTCCAGCCATGACACCAAAAAGAAGGGTCCAGAATTAATATCTGCCCATGCTACTGATTTAATTTTTTTTTTTTTATTTGGGAAGTTCAAAATACTTCACATAAAAGAACTCTGCAGTTTGTAAATGTGGGAATATCTACAGTAACATATTCAGAGGCAAGTAAAAAACTGAAATGTATTAACAATCAGATGACCACAGGCCAAATCAAGTCAAAGTGAGACTACACTAAGAACTAGAACGTAAATTTCAGGATTTTTATTCCATTGCTCTTTGGATCCTGTGTTAATACATTACTAAATAATTTTTGATTATTAATTTAGCTCTAACGAATGTATCCTTCTGATTCCTCCCAGAGTAATATTATTTTCTTGGTGGGCCCCTGTGAGTAAGGGCAGAATCATTTGTTAAAATTGTCCTCCATTTAGCAAGTATCAGCAGACAAAGTGGTCAGTTCTACTGGGGTGAAATACAGGAAGGTGGAAGCCATGTGGCATTCTTCAATTTCCCCTCTCCTTTCACAATCAGACCCTTGATATTTTCTTCAACAGGAAAACTGACATTCCCCTTCCGTGTAAACTGCTGACAATTGTATTTTACACCTGGTAAAACCAGAGCAAAACGGAAGGAAGAGAAGAAACAAAGACCAAGGACTTTTCTCAGCAACTACATCTCCACAGAACGAAGTATTTTCCTTTTCCCACCTCAGAGCAGACAGAGCCCAGTTAACACACCCCAGCCTTGGTGGGAAATGCCCCCTCCTTGCTGGTGAGTGGCAGCAGGACAATGCCCACGGCAGCAGCTTCCCAGAGAGCAGCCACCAAACCCAAAGGGCCCGTGTAGCTTGGCCCTTCCGCCACAACCTCACTTTAAAAGTGACCCTGAAGCTGCTGGTAGCAGCAATTTGAAGATTAAATACTACTGATAAAGCTTTTCTGCCCCCTAACAACTGGTCTTCTTTCCTAGATACAGCTGGTATTTAGGGTTACAGCTATCCCCTCCTTTTGAAGAAAAACCCACCTGAGTAAAGCGCTTAAATTGATTTTGATGAAGTTCTCTCTGAATTTTTCCAGTTTGGTCATAGAAATTGCACCTATTTCAGCAAAAGCAAAGTCCCCTAAGGAACAAGCCACTTGCACTCTGAGCAGAACTGCAAACATCATTGGCAGCACCTTCCTGCCCGAGCACCTGGGCACTGTGGTGGGCACATCTCAACCAGGGATAATGAACACCAGAGGAGAAATGATTTCTTACTTGAGCAATTAAAACGAATTAAGGAGCTGTTTGTCCTGTGAAGAGGTTTAATTTTTATTCAGAGCAGCCAGACCCCAGTTTTCTGGGTAACTTCTTTAGCACACAAAAGGTGAAGCAGAGCAACAAGGTTTAACTCCTGTCTCTCTCCTGAGGTTGCTGCATCAACTGTGGCTCATCAAGCACAGCCTCACGTAAGGTACAAGCAGCAAAAATCCTACAGACATCAATGAGGATCCTGGTGCACCACCATGAAAATCTTCTGCATCAGTGCTGCAATTACCATAAAAGTCCTTTTTAAGGGAGAGGGCGTCGAAAACACTTTGGGTATTGAGAGTAATCAATTTTTTCCACCTTTCTGCTGGCATTTCAAACACCAGCCAACCGTGTAACAGCAGAAACTCAGCTGCAATTAGGAACACAGCAGAAAGCACCTTACCTCATCAGGCAAGCAATAGAGCAAGCAAGTCCTGGCTGGGAACAGAACACAGTGCTTCCAAAGTTGGTGCACTGGGAATTTTGGTAATCTGCCTGCAGGGAAGTTTTTTCTGGCTCCATCAGTTAAGGGCTCACCTCAGTCTTGAAGCTGCTGTGTCCAAAGCCAGAAAAGAACATGGCTAAACTCATACCCCTCAGAAATCAACTGACAACCAGTGAATACTGCCTACAGTCATGCAAGACTGGTGCACTACAGACCAAAACCCATGAGTCATCAGGGACACCATGATGACACCAGCCAGGAAAGAGACTCCTGCCTCTCCTCCCCAGGACAGGATGGCCTGGGAAAGGTGAGCTATCCTACAGCCAGCTGTGTTCTTACAGCACCTGCTCTAGAAGAAACCACAGTGCAAACCAGGAGCTGAGGCAGATTGTGCTGCAGGAACAGCAGCCACCTCCTGTCCTCCCAAAGGCTGGGGAACCACAGTGAGACCATCAGCACCCTACCCACTGCTCAGCTCTTCAGATGCTGTTCTGCAGGCAGGGGAAAAGCACGGATTTTACCCCAAGAGGCATCTCAAAAAATCCAAGACAGAGAAACAGGGATGCTCCAGAAGCTGAGATCATGGAACAGTTCATAGGGTCTCCCTGCAAGGGAATTCTGGCTGTTTCCAAACACTGCCCTGCCTTCAGTGTGTCCCTATGCACTGGTTTTTGGAGTTCATACTCCAAAACATACGTTTTGCTGTAGAGCATCTGCTATAATTAGTACCCACAACTAACCATATCACCTATATTTTTGTCTCCTGTGCTATGCCACCATTTAAAAAAGTGTGCAAAATTACAGACCGAGCTGGGTAAGAATAAAACTACTGCTGACAATTCTATGCCTCAAAGGAAGCGGTCAGCAAGAAAAAAGCAAGTGAACAATACAGTGTCCATGTTAGGAAAAGGAAAGAGGACGGCACAAAAGTAAGATAGGAGAAATGTCAGACTTCCTCTTTCCTCTCTGCCTATCATGAAGTTAAACCACATATTGACAAAGCAAATCAGGGAAATAAGGCAGCTTTAACAGCTGGGCAGCTAGGAGAGCCACAGATTTCTAATGCTTGGTAGAGGAGTCAGAAAAGTAAAAGGAATGTCCCTTCACTCTTCCCTAGAAGCCAGGATGCTGCATCCACCAGAGCTTTGCCCTTTCCTCTGCTCCTAGGAATAGATTTTCTACTTTGGAAAGATTCCTTTATTGTTTTCAAAACTGGGGAACACTGAACATAGCAAGTTCATATTTAAGTAAAGAGACCCGAGTATCAAATCCCTGTCCCGTGAAGATCCATAACGCTGGCACATGCCATTCGTTTGCATTGCGAGCCTGTGGAGAGAAATTCCTACCACCATGCTTCACCCAGGCTAACTGGAAAAGTTTATCTAACATCCCCACGAGTTCTCATGAAAATGTCAGTGGTTAAGGTAACCACAAGTACAGAACTGGAAACGGATAAAGAAAACAGTAAAAAGTTACCTGTAAGAGAACAAAATCTGAAACATAACTGTGTTGAGGAAAAAGAAAATTGCAAAGATCCTGAGCTATTCTTTAATGTGAGATCCAAACTGTGACTTCCGAGTCTTTGTCTAGCACACACACACAAAGCAAGGCTTAGAGTCTTCTCTCAAAGCTACCCGGGCATTCTCTGGAAAAAAAGCAACCACTCCAGATGTGCTGAACATTTTCCTGTGCTACACTTGAGCATTTGGTTATAGTTTACTCCCGGGTCTGCTGGTCGGGTAAAGTCTCAGTACTCTCTTCATAAAACACTGCTCAAGCTCTCAACTTCGCAGTCTGGCAAAGGGGCACGGCCCAAAGTCTGTGCTTTTCTCCTTGTGCAAAGCGGTGCGCATCGTGCTGCCGGGGCAGAGCTCCCCGGCCAGCGGCGTCCCCGTACCGCCACCGCGACCCCGGCAGGGTCCCGGGGGATGCCCCGAGCCCAGACGGCACCGGGGACACGGTGCCTTCCCTTCAGCCCCACAGGGCACCCCGCCACCGCCCGACCCGCCCAGGGCTGCGGGCCACAGCGGGCAGCGCTTCCCTTCCCGGCCCGGCCCGGCCCGGCCCGGCCTCACCCACCTGCTCGGCGTGGCGGAGCCGCGCTGCCGCTCTCGGTGCCCCGGCGCTGGGCAGACCCGGCTCAGCTCGGCGCTGCTCCTCAGCCGCGAGCGCGGAGCCCGGCCCGGG